GCGGGGCGGGGACCGCGGGCCGGGCGGGCACCCACGTCACCGCCGCGCCGCCGGTGCCTGCGAGCGCGGGCGGGGGCGCGGGGCGACCGGGCCGGGCCCGCGGCCGAACATGGCGGGCCTCCGGCTTACCTCGGAATTTGAGCTCGTGCTGCGGCTCGAGGCTCAGGACCTGCTCCACCTTCGCCATGTTCCTCAGCGGTGGAGCACCTCTGCCGGGGGACCCCCTGAGAGGTCACCTGAGGCAGGAGGCGTTAATGCTACGCCCCCTTTAAATCTAGAAAGGGGGGGGCCGGCCGGGACGCGGGCGGGGGTCGTCTACGGTGTGCGCGCGGGGGGGGGGGGGGGGGCGGCCTACGCGGTGCAGGCGCAGGGGCGGAGGGCGAGGGCGAGGCCGCGGTGCCCGGCGAGCGCACGGCACGCACGCACGCAGCGACGCACGCACGCACGCACGCACGCAGCGGGCTGGCCGGCTCGGTCCTGCGCGCGCTCGGGCGGCGGGAAGCTGCGCGCGGAGCTCCTTCCCGGAGCTCTGCGCAGGCGCGGCGCGGGCCGAAGGGCGGGGCTACCGGGTGGCAGGGGGCGGAGTGTCGTGCAGGTCTGGAGGCGGGGCCGTCCGGGATGCTCAGAAGCGAGGACAGTCGTCGCGAAGGTTATTTACTCAGGGCCCATGGGGGCCAGCCGTTGTTAAAGTGCTTTAGTCAATAATAATAAAAACAAGAAAATTCCACTTTGCCCTTGCTTATGTAGTGCCAGGCACTGGCAGAGACTGTGAATGATAAAGTTTTATCATAAGCATGTTTATAAGTGAATGGTGTGCTAGGCAACGTGACGTGTGGCAAACAATAAATACACAGGAAGCTACCAATTATTTCTTGCTGCTTTTGTGCCACTCTGCTGAACGCTTTCACTAATAGCACCGTCGAATGTAATGAAAGCTACTCTTTATCAAATGTTTACTATGTAGCAAGCACTATGCTGCATCCTTTATCATCCACGCAACAAACATTTACAAATACAATGATCAGAGAAATGGACCTGGTTCCGATCCTCTCACTAGAGCCTGCTGGAGATCCAGCCTCTGAAAAAATAACCACACAAATAAACTGTAATTAAAAATTGCTGGGAACCCAAATCTGCTTGGCCTCCGAAGTGAACATTACATCATTATTGCTGCTTAAATAGTATGTCATTATGTAATGTTTGTAAAGTATGTATTATTAAGAGGAGTCTGGGTGGCTCAGCGGTGAAGTTACCAACTCTTGATTTCAGCGCAGGTGGTATCTCAGAGTCATGACACGGAGCCCCCGCTCACACAGAGTCTGTTTAAAACTCCCTTGTGCCTCCCCCCACCTAGTGTGTGTTTGCCAGTTTGCGCGCTCTCGCTTGCTCTCTCTCTCTTTCCTTCAAATAAATAAATAAATCTTTTAAAATTACATGTGCTCTAATCATCTCCTACACATCTATAGAGAGAAAACAAACAGCGGGTAGTTAATGTTGACTCTACTGTGGTTGGCATCTGGGTATTCTTTGTCCTATTCTTTCTACTTTTCAGTATGCTTGAATTTTTTCATAATGAATAAGTTTTCTTAAAGATAATCTTTGTCTTTTAGCTAGAGCATTTGGTACATTTACACTTATTATATTTACTAATATGTCTGCATTTATTTCTACCACCTTTTTTTGTGCTATTTGCCATGTCTTTTTTTTTTTTTTTTTCCTTTTTCCTCACCTTTCTTCCTTAGGGCTGATTTCTTTCCCCTCATTCTCTTTTCTTCCTCTCATACACCATCTCTGTTGTTTTCATGATTACCATAGAAATTGTGATGTACTTATGAAAGTCCAATTTTTAAAATGTCTTTACCATGCTTCCTTAAAATACAAGGACTTTGGGACTCTTTATCTCTAAACACCCATCCCCCAAATCATATGCCTTAATTATGGTGTATTTCAGGTTTAATCTTTTCATCTCATGAGTCATTGTTGTATTGTTTTATATGATTGATGTTAGTTTAGATGCAACCACACAGTTACCAATTTCTTTGCCCATCTTTTCTCCTTGCATCTCAGAACTTAACAACTAGGATCACATTCCGTGTGCCTGAAGAATGTGTACATTCTTTAAATTCTATTTCATTGAGGGTTTGCTGGGCCAAACTCTCTCAGTTTTTGTTAATCTGAAAATGACTTTATTTTGCCCTTGTTCTTGGAAGATATTTTGGCTAGTTTACTAAAGCTGACAGTTCTCTCTCAACACCCCAAAGATACCCATTCACTCATTTCCAGCTACCGTTGTTACTAGAGATTTCAGACGACAATCTCCCCATCATCCCTTCAAGGATGATCTGTTTTCCCACCTATCCTGGGGTTGTGCAGTTTTACCATGATGTGTGCTTTTTTACTTATTGTCTTAGCCCATTCAGGCTGCTGTAACAAAATGCCATGGAATGGATAGCTTAAGTAACAGCATCTATTTCTCATGGTTCGGGAGACCAGGAAGTCCAAGACCAAAGCACTGGCAGACTCCATGTCTGGTGAGACCCTACATCCTGGTTCACAGCCTGCTTTTCTCCTGTGCTCTGGGGCTTCTCTCT